TTTAAGAAGTTCTGTTACATCTGCCCCTGGGCTGGGGCACTGGAGGGGTAGTAAGGAAGTGCTGCTAGAAAAATGCTACCCCACAGACAGCTGGAAGTTTGGGTGTGGGTATGTCTGGCTCATTGCTTCCACCATAGTGGTGAGAGCAGTGATGGTTGGTGTGTGGAATCTTAGGGCAACCTTGATCTTGAAGCATCAGAGCTGCTGAGTAGAGTCAGGAATGCAATGGAGCAACCAGGAACATTATAGCTTTAAGCCATAGGGAGAGTTTTGAGGGGTCTGCTGTTCCATGGATCTAGCTGGATTCTTGACTCCTCATTGGACTGCAACCTACAACCACTACAAACAGTGAATACTTCCAGCTTGATTCTTATAATTGGGAGGTGGTATAGATTGACAGTAAAGACACTGGATCAAGACTGGGTTCAAACCCACTACTAACCTACACTTACTGATTGTGTGACCTTGGAAAAGTTCCTTCATCTGCAAAATTGGAGGAAAAAAAGGTTTTGTGGTGAGGATGTAGTGATTTGATATACGTGAACCACTTAAAACTGTGACTGGCACAGAGTAGGCTCTGGTGATTGAGCTCAGCATACATCATCTCCTTGGGCCTATGGCCATGTGTTCATCAACTGACTTTAAATTTGAAATAGGAATTGGTGATTGGGGTTGGGAGGGCAGAAAAAAGAATAGGAGATACATTTTGCTGCAGTGCCCCTTCACAAAATACCTCTGGAATTTTGCCAGTAAGTTGGTGAGAATCTGCTCCTCATTTGCTACCCATGGCTTGTCAATGATCTTTACACACAGAGAGGGGATTTTGTCCTTTTAGCCATTCATATATCCTTTTAATTGGACCCATGAGGTAAGGGTCATGGCTCATTGACCTGAGGGAGGATATTTTTCTTCATTTTTGTGCAACAAGACAATATGTTGTGACAGAATGCTACCCATCTCCATCCCACTCTGCAACCGAAGAAGCACCTGCCTTTAAGTGCAGTGCAAGTACGAATTTCTACTCCATCATTTCCAAACATTCCATTCCCTGAAGGAAAAAAAAAACATGGAAAAGAAAAATCAGGCTTTACAGGGCTTGGAGAAATCCTAGACCTGCCCTCTCTTCCTGGTGGGTGGCTTATTATTTTGTGATTGACCTTCTGCATCCTGTCCTCTCACCTCATATCCTATTTCAGTGAGGGCCGCCACGTCTAAGGCTAATCAGAGGAAGTTAAGGGAAATAGGAATTTGAATAGCTGAACGGTGATGTGTGTGTCATGAAATTGGCTCCTCTCTCTCAAACTTGGGTAGACCTTCAGGATGTGGCAACAGGTGAGTAGGGCAAGGGCTGAAGACCACCAACTCACATCCCATCCCTAGCCTGCTGGCCCATCTGCTATTGGGTGTCCCCCTGCTGGTCTTATGCCCATAAAGGATTTTAAGTGCCTGTGTCCTCGGAAGACCCCTACTTTCATGATCAGACCTGTACCCGCCATCTTACCTGAAGGCAGTGAGATCAACAGGAGGAAGAGTAATCCAGAGAGAGAGCACCTCATTGCTTGAGAGGGTATAGACCTGGAACTTCCTGGGGGTGGCTGCCTGGGAGCTTCCTTTATAGAGCTGGACAAGGTTGGGTGGGGCTGGACACTGGCCTCATTCTACTTGGAAGGGCACCCAGGGGAGACAGTCTTCTTCAGGGTTAGAGGAAGAAGAGTCCCTGGTCCTGTCTGTGCTACTTTCTTTTTTACAAATCATGGGAAAAGAAGGAACTCAGTCAAGGCTGAACAGGTGCAGAGACCAGGCCCAAATATTTATCCTATAACTTCATGTGTATGATAGAAAAATGCAGGAAATGTCTACTTTCTATTTTGTTTCTCCTTTCCTTCAGAGTTCCCTGAGAACACAGGAGACCAGACAAGTGATATTAAAAACCCAGGCTTAATTTAAGACCAGAAAGGATGTGAACAAGAACTTGTTGTGTTTCAAGAAACAAAGGGTCTCAAGGTGTCAACTGTTGGTCTGCCCAAGAGTTAGGTAGGGGCTCAGACATAGCAGAGAAGGGGTAGCCTTCTCTTTGGGCAGCAGATTTTTTTACCTGGCTAGAGGCAGATGGTGGAGGGCTCTGCCAACCAGAAAAATTCACTGAGGGTCTTCATTTCCCAAATGACTAGTATGAAATGTTGCCTAGTATTTGGGAACTTTGAGGGTCCTGGTAAAGGTACTCTTCTTGGAATGGGTGGGTTGGAACTCTCTTCTGTTCTCTCACAGGAAGAGCCAGATCAGTGTGGTGTTCAAGGTTGGATGCCCAGTGTTCAGAGTAGAGCAGGACACCACTTCCCTGGAGCTATAGGGACACAGCTCTGGGGAAGGGTCATTAGGTCTGTCTTCCCTGAAGTGGTGGGTGGAGGACCAAAAGTTGAGAAGACACTTACTTTGGTTATCTTCTTGTCCTTTGAGGCAGGCTTGTACTCAAATAGCCCACAGCCGTAGGATTCTGAGTCTGTAAATTGACAGTAGAGCATAATTTTATTGGTTATGCTCCATTTTGCAGTCACATACCGTTGGATAAATTATTTAGCATCTCTGAGCTTCAGCTTCCTCTTCTCAAAAAGTGCATTGTAAAAGGTTTTCTGAGGATGACAAATTACAAATCCATTACACTCATTCTGGTAGAAATTAGGTTATTCACTTCCTTCTCTTCCTTCTCCCCCTCCACCACCACCACCACCACCACCACCACCACCACCACCACCTTCTCCTCCTTCTTTTTTCCCTCCTCCTCTTTATTCATTATTTAATTCCACCATTATGGCTGTGTTTCTTTCTTTTTTTGCAGCATTCTCTCTCCAAGAGATCTATTGGTGAATGCAAAAAATAGCCAGGCGAGTTTTATTCTGGGTTCCAACAATGTGTGTTGTTGAGAGCACCACTGTGGATTGGCATGGGGGTGGGGAAGAGGAGGGGTGCTAGTTGACTGGAAGTAAGTAGTTCAATACTAGATCAAGGCTGAGGGTTCCCTTGCATGACTCCATGGAAGACTCCCAGGAGACTCTGCATGGGGCATACAATTCCTGCCACAGAATGCAGGCCGTAGCCTGACCATCTGCTGCCAAGACATAGCGCAGACTCAGTGGTACCTTCTCGTTCTTTTAGAGATGGAGGACATGAGGCTTGAATGGGTGAATGGGCTTGCACAAAGGAAAGAAGCAAGGTGTGAATTGTGCTGGCATAAAATATTCAGCTCTTTTGATTCTCAGTTCAGAACTCTTTCCTTCTCCATATATTTTAAGTTGATCAGTCGTGCCCTTGAGAATATGGAAAGAATGGACCTAGCATCTTCCAAATACTTCTGAACCCCTCCTATACCTATTTCTGGAAAAGCAAATCTACAATGCATTTGGAGATTAGCATGTGCGCAGGATGGACACTTTCCTTTCTACCTGTGTGTATCCTGGTTAAATCACCATCCCAACCTCCGGGCAGGAGCTTTTCCTAACTGTGCTGAGTGTTCCCACCTCCTGCCTGAGGTCTTGTTGGGGAAAAAGTGCCAGGGAAACACAAACAGCTTTATTATCTCCCATTTAATGTTGCTCTGTTGGTGCTTTCTTCTTTTTTTCATTTCATAGAATTTTTGTGCTCTCCGTATCATATCTGCTTTCAAGAAAACAACAACAACAACAACACAATGACTACACATTCTATGCTACATTAATAAATTAACCTGTTGAAGGAGCAAGCCCCTTTCCCAGATGCCTCATTCGACTAGTCACACAGTTCCTGAGTGCAATGACTTCACTGCTTTTTTCCCTCTATGTGCAGGTTTATGTTCACCCATGGCTTTTATTTTTAAACTTTAAAAATAAATCACTGTTAAATGATGAAATTTAATGCACATAAAGGAAAATAAGCAAATCGTGTACATAGCTTAGTGACGGAACATATAGCAAACACCGTGTAACCACCACGTAGATCAAGAAAACAGACCTTTTCCAGCATCACGGAAGGTCCCAGGGAACCCTTAAGTGACCACAGCCTACCACCTCTCCCACAAGGCAACCGCTGCTCTGACCTGGATAATCATCACTTTCATGCTTTGCTTTATGATTTTCCCTTCAGTATGCATCGCTAAATAGAGTGTTTTTTTTTTTTAAGATTTTATCTATTCATTAGAGAGAGAGGGGGAGAGAGAGAGAGTGCAGAAATTGGGGGAGGGGTAAGCAGACTCCCTGCTGAACAGGGAGCCCGATGTGGGACTTGATTTCAGGACCCCGAGATCATGACTTGAGCCAAGGCAGAGTCTTAACCAACTGAGCCACCCAGGCGCCCCAAAGAGGGTGGTTTAATTTGCTTCTTTTTGACCTATATATAAGTGGCAGCACAAAAGTATTATTTGTGGCTGGCTTCCTTCTTTATTATGTTTTTAAGATTTGTCTGTGTTTCTGTGTGCAGCATTGGTTTTTACCTCAGTATATTGACTACTTAATAGATTTATGACTGCTGAAAAGTATTTGAGTTGTTTCCATGTGTTTTAAAGAGTGCTGCTGTGGACATTCTTGTTACTTATATCCTGTGCACACAGGCTTGCTTTTTGGAGGAGAGATACCTTGGAGTGAAATTGCTAAGGCACAGGGCATGCATAACATCAATTTGTCCTACATGTCAAATTGTTTAGTAAAGTGTTTTTTACTAATTTGTATATCCATCAGCTATGTATAAGGATTTTGGTTATTCCACATCCTTAGCACTACTTGGTATTGTCAGACCTTTACATTTTATTTTATTTTATTTTTTTTTAGACCTTTACATTTTAGACAACTTGATGGTTATCTAGTGGTCCCTCATGGCGGATTAATTTAATTTAATTTCCCTGATCACAACTAAGATGGGGTATCTTTTTATATGTTTATTGGTTATTTGGATTTTCTCTTTTGATAAGAGTCTAGTTAAGTCATTTGTCCATTTTTTTTCCTTATTGGTTTGTCCATTAAGAATAATTTATACTGTGAATATTCTTGCTATTCTGATTTTGTAATAATCAAGGCAGGCTAAACATTCACTATATTAAGACCATGCATGTGTCCTCAGACCTAGTTCTTTTCCTAGGTCTGGTTTTATAAATGCTGGTGATAAATTGAATCTGATTTATATGATGCATCTTATATGGGAAATGTCTGTGACTCTAGGTATTTGCTCATCCTCAAGAAATGATGGCACAGCTAATGTAATAACTTTTGAAGATAACCATTGCTAATTTGCTGATTAACAGCTGCCATTGAATGAATTGTAAAACGATTGTGTTTTATTTTCACGGACTAAAAGTTACAAGAATAACTTGTAAATTATGTGGTGGTTCAAGATGACAGCCCAGAAAGACCCTGAACTCACTTCCTCTGTAGACACACCAAATCTTATAGAATAATTCCTGCTGAAAAAGAATTGAAAACTAGCTGAACAGCTTTCTCCACAAGGGATAAAAGGACCCCATCTAGATTGGGTAGGAGAGGCAGAGACACGGTCTCACCAAAACCCTATCCCTGGCTCTGTGACACACAATAGGGAGGGACCTCACTCCTGAAGCCTCTCCCTGAAGAGTGAGGGATTTGTGCCCCACACTGGGCACTCCAACCATTGAGACCTGCACCAAAGAGACCATGAAAACCAATGGGGTTTACATCCAGGGAGCCTGAGGGGCTAGTGCATGGACTCACTTGTCCCAGGAACCTGTGCGAAGGCAGCAGATTAAGAGGGGACTGGATTTTATGTGATGGTGATCCAGTTGGTCATATTAAAGAGTGCTGGAGGGGCAAGGGTTTGTTGAGATTTTTCTTGGGATAGAGGTGCTGGAGTGTGCCTTTTTTTGCTCTCATCCTCTACCTTGCTAGTGGAGGTGGGCATGTGAAGATACAACCTCCCTAAAGCCAAGGGCATGGCCCACCCTCCTTGTTCATTCATTCAATTGTAGCTTCTTTTCCTTCATTGCTTGTTTATTTCAGTCTTCTTTTTTTCCCCCCTGATGAGTCTGGCTAAAGCCTCATCAATTTTGTTTATCTTTTCAAAGAACCAGTTCTTAGTTTCCTTGATTTTTTCTATTCTTGTTGTATGTTTCTTTCTTTCTTTTGTTTTGTTTTGTTTTTAGTTTCTATTTATTTCTGCTCTCATCTTTATTATTTCCTTCCTTCCACTAACTTTGGGCTTTGTTCTTTTTTTAAGTTCTTTTAGGTGTAAGGTTAGATTGTTTATTTGAGATTTTTCTTGTTTCTTGAGGTAAGCCTGTATTGCTATAAATTCCCTCTTAAAACTGCTTTTGCTGCATCTCAAAGATTTTGAACTGTTGTGTTTCCACTTTCATTTGTCTTCATGTATTTTTTGATTTCCTCTTGAATTTCTTTGTTGACTTCTGTTGTTTAGTAGCATGTTGTTTAGCCTTCATGTTTTTGTGTTTTTTTCCAGTTTTTTTCCCTTGTAGTTGATTTCTAGTTTACATTGTTGTGATTAGAAAAGATACCGGAGGGGCACCTGGCTGGCTCAGTTGGTAGAGCATGCAGCTCTTGATCTCAGGGTCATAAGTTCAAGCCCCATGTGTGGCGTAGAGTTTACTTAAAAAAAAAAAAAAAAAGAAAGAAAAAATACTTAATATGATTTCAATCTTAAATCTATTGAGACTTGTTTTGCGGCCCAACATGTGACGTATCCTAGAGAATGTTCCATGTGCCCTTGAAAAGGATGTATTCTGAGGTTTTTGTATGGAACCTTCTCTATATATCTGTTAAGTCCATCTTGTCTAATGTGTTGTTCAAAACCACTGTTTCCTTACTGATTTTCTGTCTGGATAATCTATCCATTGGTGTAAATGGGGTGTTAAAGTCCCCTACTATTATTGTATTGCTTTCAAGTTCTCCCTTTATGTCTGCTAACATTTGCTTTATATATTTAGGTGCTGTTGTGTTGGGTGTATAGATATTTACAATTGTTTTATCCTCTTTGTTGGATTGATCCCTTTATCATTATGTAATGCTCTTTTTTGTCTCTTGTTAGAGTCTTTGTTTTAAAGTCTATTTTGTCTTATATAATTATTGTTACCCTAGATTTCTTTATGTTTCCATTTGCATGAAATATCTTTTTCCATTCCTTCACTTTTATTTATTTATTTTTATTAAAAAAATTTTTTTTAAAGATTTTTTTTTTTTTTTAATTCATGAGAGACAGAGTGAGAGAGAAAGGCAAAGGGAGAAACAGGTTCCCAAGGAGCAGGGAGCCCAATGCGGGACTCGATCCCAGGACCCTGAGATCATGACCTGAGCCGAAGGCAGATGCTTAACCATCTGAGCCACCCAGGTGCCCAGCTATTCCTTCACTTTTAGTCTGTATGTGTCTTGAGATTTGAACTGAGTCTCTTGCAGGGAGCATGTATTGAGTCTTGTTTTTTTGTTTTACAACTATTCATCCACCCTATGTCTTTTGATTAGAGCATTTAGTTTATTTATGTTAAAAATAATTATTGATAGACATGCACTTATTGCCATTTTGTTGATTGTCTTCTGATTGTTTTTTTTCAAGAGAATATTAAATCATTTATTGATTACACATGATAATGGGTGATACACAAGCTTTAATCCCATCTATAATTTTATCTGATACCATAATTCAATTTAGATATATTGCATAGGATGTGCCAACAATCATATTAATAACCAAATAAACTCCAGGACTTTCCTTGGGTGACCCTTTTAATGGTGAACTCCAGGTCACAACACATTAACTGTAAGTTCAACTACACCAAGGTTTGTAGAGACAATGGCTTCTGTGCCCAAGCAGGTTGCAAATAAATTTCAAATGGAAACTGGCATCACCCTGAAGGAATTCTAACTTCACACTGTTGGGGTAGTATACCAAGATGGCTTCAGAGTAGACTAACTTTACACAGCACATTTAAAAAAAGACATTTATTCAGCGTCATGATCAGACTATTACATTTAGCAATCAACAGCATGAGTGCAAAAAAAAAAAAAAATCTACATTAAAACCCTTTGTTGGAATGCTTTACACTTTCCACAGAACAGAAACTGAAATAACCTGTTATACAATTAGTCACAAATACAGTCCTCGAGTTTTTTGCCCATACACATGAGTATTGTCTAAAACATGTCTTCTTTGTAGCAGCTAGGCCCTGCCACCACTGTGCTTGGCTGAGTTCACAAATCTGTTGTAACCTGTAGCTTCCCCGTCCCTCCTCTGGCTCTCCTCTCCTGCTAAGCTTTGTTTCCTGGCAGTGATTAAAACCTTCTGCCACTGCCGTAGCTCCTGTTGCTGCTGGAACCACCATAGCCACCTTGGTTTCGTGGTTTGGCAAAGTATTGGCCTCCACCACTGTAGGGGCCAGAGCTTCTGCCTCCAAAATTTTCTCCTTTCATGGGTCCAAAATTTGAGGATTGATTGTTGTAATTGCCCAAATCATTATAGCTTCCACCACCTCCAAAGTTGCTTCCATCATTACCAAATCCGTTATAGCCATCCCCACTGCCACCATGTCCACCACCACCTCGACTGCCACCAAAGCCACCTCGCCCACTGAAGTTCCCTCCACGACCAAAGTTGTAATTCCCACCAAAACCACCTCCACGACCACCACCAAAGTTTCCAGAACCACTTCGACCTCTTTGGCTGGATGAAGCACTAGCCATCTCTTGCTTAGATAAGGCTTTCCTTCACAGTTGTGGCCATTCACAATATGGTATTTTTGAATGACAATCTTGTCCACAGAGTCATGGTCATCAAATGTTACCAAAGCAAAACCTCTCTTTTTGCCACTGCCTCGATCAGTCATGATCTCGATCACTTCAATTTTCCCATACTGTTCAAAATAATCTCTTAGATGATGTTCTTCAGTGTCTTCTTTAATGCCACCAACAAAAATCTTTTTCACAGTTAAGTGAATCACCAGGTCTTTGAGAATCTTCTCTTGAGACAGCCCTCTTTGGTTCCACAACTTCCATCCACCTTGTGTGGCCTTGCGTTCATGGCTGCATCCACCTCCTCCACAGTGGCATACGTGACAAATCCAAAGCCTCTGGAGCGCTTGGTATTTGGATCTCTCATTACCACACAGTCCGTAAGTGTCCCCCATTGCTCAAAACAGCTCCTCAGACTCTCATTGGTTGTTTCAAAGCTCAAACCTCTGATGAAGAGCTTCCGCAGCTGTTCAGGCTCTTTGGGAGACTCTGACTTAGACATGACGGCGGTGGGAGGGGAGACTTTAATGATGCTTACTCGGCGGCGTCCACGGGCAGAAAGGAGTAATCTAACGAACGTATCTCTCTTCTGATTGTTTTTGTAGTTCTTCTCTGTTCCTTTATTCTTCTCTTGCTCTCTTCCCTTGTGATTTTTGACTTTTTGTTTTTGGTGTTATACTTCATTTTTTATGTATCTAATATGTTTTTGGTTTGTGGTTACCATGAGGTCCATATATAATATTCTATGTATGTAGAGATCAATACTGAGTTGATGGTCACTTAAGTTTGAACACGTTGTGAAAGCACTACATTTTTACTTCTTCTTCTTCCATGTTTTATGTATATTATATCATATTGTATATCCCCCAATGGCAGGAGTCTCTCTGGAGAGATACCAGAGGTGGTGCAGTGGGAGCCACTTTGGAGGGGAGCCTGTTGGGGTGAATGGGTTAGAGGGAGCAAGTGGTGCTAGCCAAGTAGATGGAAAGTGTCAGAACTGGCTCTTGCAGCTAGACTAAAGGAGGGTCAGAAAATTTAGACTCACCAGCACTTCTGTTCCCAGAGAAAGCTCCTGCAGATCCCTGCCCCTTTGGCACATATCCTGAAATTAGTCAATTTATTTCCTTCATATACACCCATGCCCTTTAAGAGATATTGCTTCAGTGCTAGGTATCAGGCAGGTAGAGATGGTTTCCTACAGTCCTTTGGCTCTCCCAGAGTTAGCCCCAAAGATTTTCAAAGGCAGATATTATGGGAGCTTGTCTTGCTAGTGCAGATCCCCAGGGCTGGGCCTGCCTCTGTGGGGCTTGATCCCCCCACTTCTTCATGCCTGTGATATCCACCCTGATTCTAGGTCACTGTGTGGGGGACTGGGTTCCCAATTACATCTCTGACCTTCCTAC